TTATGAGAAGTTCTTCCTTCTCTTTAGAAACAATTTCGCATGGAAAAGTTTTCTGCAAACTCATTGATTTGTAAAGCATTAATCGGCTTATCGAATATTTTTGATGGACTGAAAGTGCCAACTAATTATTGCTAGAATGGAGGAAAAGCAAAAATTGTACAGCGATTTATTGATAGAATGAAAATATGCTAGACATAAATGCAAATATTACTTGAATTTTGATCTAATCTGCAAATTGATTTACATATTTTTTTAGTATTCGGAATTTAGAACGAAGTTTTCAACCTTTTAGAACGTATTACAGAATCTAAACGTATTGCAGTCTGACACGGATTCTTCGATACACTTCCCTTACCCAAATCGTCATCCAGTGATTGGAATCAATTCCATCGAGAGTGAGTGCAGCTGTCGATGTCGCAAGCCGTTTCATCATGTTCCGGACAGTCCATCTACTGTTGCTAATGTTTCCGGGTGTATTTATCCATGTCATACTCCAGACCGAGGTACTAAGGACAAGAAATTCCTGACTGCTTGGATTACTACTTGGCTCGTTTAATTTCATTAATTTAAAGAATTTTGTGAAATTTAGAGGATAGAATTAAATGTTACTACTTTTTGTATTTTTAATATAAATTACTAGTACCGTAGCAAAGTAAAGAAATTTTAGCTCTGAGATTTAAAAATTATAAAAATTAATACGAATATCAATATAATATGGGATTAATTTTAGGGCAGGTACATGTTTCGTGCTATCCGCATTCACTGTACTGACATTCTTGATTGAAAAGGAACGGTTTCAGTACCCGGAACGACCAATATTTTTGTTGGCGTTCTGCCAGTTGATGGTATCAATCGGTTTTATCATTCGGGTTATCTATGGGCATGAATATATCGCCTGTGATTCAACTATAATAAAAACTAACGATCAGCAAATGAGTCTTTGCCATTTGGTAAGAAATAGTTGGGATGTTTTTGTACTTGAAATTTTTTTTCACGAGGTAAAATAAAATTTGGTAACAAAAAGTTAAAAACCTTTAATTTCCACAAAAATTTTTTCTGATCGCTTAAATTTTGTGCTTCAAGACGAAAACTTATGCGCTTGACTTTTAATTCAAGATTCAGTTCAATTTCAGGTTTTCCTCTCAATCTACTTCTTTGGTATGGCGGGTTCAGTGTGGTGGGTCATCCTCTCTTTGACTTGGGTCCTCGCAGCAGCAAGTAAGTGGTCTAGTGAGGCGATTGCAAGTTATGCAAATTACTTTCACTTCATCGCTTGGTGCTTGCCTGCAATGCAGACAGTTGTGGTACTGATTTTCGGTGCAGTAGATGGTGACCCACTAAGTGGGATATGTTACGTGGGTAACACAAATGTCAGCCACCTCAAGACATTCGTCTTTGGTTAGTTTCGTTAACTTTTCAGTATATCCATCTTTTGAATTCAAACATATCTTGCTTAATTTTTTTCCTAGATAGTTTTAGCAACGATCATGGATTCCTTAAAATTTGCTTTAAACACAAACTTTTCTGACCTAACTTTTGACTCTTTTTTACAGCACCATTATCAATTTATCTCATAACTGGCGTTTGTTTCTTATCAGTGGGATTCTTCAACCTTTGGCGTATACGTTCTCTCATGCAGAAGCACCATCCTGGAAATGAAAATACGTCAAAAATGACGCAACTAATGTCAAAAATCGGCATATTCTCTGTGCTTTACATAGTGCCAGCTATATTTGTTCTTATGGTGCTAGCACATGAACAGCATTATCGGCCCATTTGGGAACGATCCCTCTTATGTAATTGTGCTGAACAACTTGATCAACAAGGTGAGTGAGTTATAATTTCCATTTTGATTTTTACATGGCAATATTTTTTTAGTGAATAATGTGTGCGTTACTCATTTCTCTAAAGCCTTATCATACCTTCATTTATTTTTTGCTAGCTGTGTTGATAATAAGTTGTGCTTTTTTAGAAAAAATAAATTTACAGTTTAATAAAAAATGCAACCATTCAAAAAGAGAAAAACAGAAATTTTGATTTCCAGCTGATACATTCACTTTATTGGCACTAATTAAAAATGCATCGATGTTAGTGGTTGGTTGGACTTCAGGAGTTTGGATTATTTCTCGAAAAACAATTCAGGTTTTTAGCTATCATCACTGTGTTTTGTTTTTTGGATAGGTTTATATATGTTTACAGATAGAAAAATTATGATGTTTGGAAACAATGAAAAATTGCGGTAGTGGTGCGATTTTGAACATAAATTTACATTTTTCATTTTTCAAATGTAAATTTATGTTCAAAAAACAAGCATGAACTGATTTAGATTTTTAGTTTGCAGATGTACCCTTCGCGTTATGATCTCATCACATATCAATTTCAGAGTTGGAAACGTGCGTTGTGTTGTTTACGCGGTACAACCATATCAAAGCATAAATATCAGCCTGCGGATATAATTTATGCTCGAAGTGATTGCATAACTCCACATATGTATAATAAAGCATTGCGACACTGTCAGGGATATAGTACACCTATTTTACCTGAAAAAATTTAATTTTTTATTGCCGATCCTGAAATTGATGAATATGAGCTTTTATAATGAGAGTGGTGAACTCTTCTGATTGATCTCACTGGTTCTGCTTCCTGCTTGACTAAAAATTAGTGCTTTTAAAGTTTTCAAGATTTTATCTGATATTTTATTGAAATGATATAGTCATCACTTTATTTGGCATTCTATTGAACACTAATAACTTTTGGTATATTTAGGGAAAGTCAAAATGAAAAAATATACCTTTTTCATTAAATGCAAGTTTTTGTCATTTCTCGCAACAAATAATTGTTTTGAGATGCTAAAGTAATCCTAAATTTGCATTCAAGGTGCCAACTGATTGAAGCACATCTTAAATTTATCGAATCTAATTTTTTTCAACCGTTGATTTCAAACGTCAGAAATAAGGTTTGCTTAAAAATTGCTAAATAACTATTTTTGGCAAAAGCAGTGAAAATATTTTTTTTAATTTTGCAACACAAATACTTTGATTAAAACAATACCTCAGATCTGTAAGCCTATATAATTGCAATTACATTTTTGTTGTTCATTAGTGGTACTTTTCTGTTTTGTATATTTTTTAAAGAGGATCTTATGATCCATCATATTTCATACGGAATAGTTCTATTGCTAACTTTTTATGGGAGGCATAATTCGGATAGCAAGTTGAAAAGACACATCTGCTGAGCTTAACTGTCATAATAAGACAAGAATTTTTTTGTCAGTGAAAATAAAAGCAAAACTGCGATATTTGATAGTAGATTGATTGCATGATTTGAATGAAGTTTAGTGAAATGAAAAAAGCTATGAATTTTAATCAGTTTTAGTCTCGTTTAAGCTTGATAAAATTAGTTGAATTTGAATGAATATTCGATAATCAGAATAATAAAGGTCACACTGGAAAGTTTTTGCCATTTATCAGTAACTCTGAGTATGTAGTTGAAATTGTATTTCCTAATATTTGTATTCCTGCCTGAAGATATCCAATGAGCTTAGAAACTTTTTTTGTTGTAAATTGTTTCACACTTGTGCATAAATACTCAGAGCATTCTAGAGAAGTGTTCACATGCGTTTAAGCTATAATTTGTCTTTGTCATTGCAAAATTGACAATATCTAAAATAATGATTCTGATTGCATGTGTACAAATATTTCAAGTCAAAATCAGATTCTCTTCTCTAATTTGCAAAGCAAACACTTGTTATTGTTGTGTGATAATGAATAACGTTTCAAACTGTACTCTTCTGAACAGAATCATTCGTTACGTGTGTTTTCACTTGATTATGATTAATTTTCCTGTGGAATAAAAATTTCCAACTCCATCTTTTTGACCCGTAATTGTCCGAAGCGCGGAAGCAAAGATGAATCAAAAAGACCATTAGTAGGAGGAGGCTTCAATTGCAAAGTGAAGTTAGTGTTTGGATTATTATTCAACGTTCACACTTGAATCACATTTCTTTGTTGAAGGAACATAAATAGAAGCTATTGAAGGAGCAGATGCCAACCAACGGGTACATATGGTTATTCAAGTGATACTTCCTGTCTAAATTATGCAAATAAAGTTGCGCTTGAACTCGTTAACCTTTGCTGAGCTCATGAATGCGTACATTTTGTTTTCGTGTTGTTAATGAATTATTGAAGGAAGTAGAAACAGTTGTTGAGTGAATTATTGGTCGATTAATGACTCCATTAAGTGTCGGCAATCAATGATTGATTGGGGTCTGTTTCATAAATTTATGAGCAAAGCAATAAATTTTCTTCTAATCGTATCTTACATGAATGAATTCCCTTCATAATTAATTACTTTTCAAAAAATCATTGACTGAAGGCGCATTACAGATGGACTACTGATGCACCCATTTGATCAACTGGGAAAGTCAGAAGCTATTCCTCGGTCCTTCTTCGACTATTGATAGTTAAAATACGCTGACATTTGATAGTTGTGCAGTTTTTGATTATATTTGCACATTTTATTATTATCATTCATATCATTTCAGCTTAATTCCCCTTTTTCACAATTCTACTTGCTCACACATTTACAGATTAAACTTCTCATCACTCACTGCTGATAAGGAATGATTAGTGTCGCTGTTAAAATAGAAACTTTCTGCTTGCAGTCTGTTCCTTGGCGTGCTCACTGATAAGCTCAGTCAGTGATGTTACCTCTGAAAATGTCATCGGTTCACGTCTTCGTAGTAGTCCTCGTCCTCACTAGTGTTATTGGTATTGCTGCCAAACGTTTCCGTTCTTTTAGCGATTTCATGTAATTATTTTATGTTTTGATACCATCAAGTTTCGCACTTCTTTTCAAATATTTATTATTTTGAAATCCTTGCATAAATTTTCTTCTTTTAACTGCTAATTACTAAGTTCTGAATACAAAATTTGAAAAGTTCTGAACAGATATTTAAAATTCACATCGAATCAAAAAATTTTAGTGATGACAGTTTATATGACGAATCTTCGCAAGAGCTCAATTTAAAAAAAGGAGAAGTTTGGGTAGTGCTTGTTGCAGGTTCAAATGGCTGGTATAATTACCGCCACCAAGTAAATTTTTGTAATTTTTTCTGTTTGCCTCAATAAAAATTAATTAATAAATAAGCTAGCTTCAAAATTATTTCAAAAATTTGTTTCCAAAAATTTTTTGCACTCATATTGTCATAACAGGTGATAAGTTTTCCGAGAAGAATTAATCTTAATTTTGTAGTCGGACGTTTGCCATGCATATCAGGTACTTAGAAAACATAGAATTCCTGAAGAAAATATCATCACAATGATGTATGATGACATAGCTGATAACACGCAGTAAGTTATGCAAAGTTATTAATTTTTGATAAAAAATATGAAATGAAATTCACTGGTTTTATTTTCAATTATTATAATATTGACTGATAGGATGTCTTGCTGAGAAATTCACATGCTCATTTTATTAGAGGTTATGCAAAGCATTCTCAGGACTTCTTAATGTGAGCAATACTTGAAACTAGCGAGTTATTTTCAGCAATCCATATCCGGGCAAAATATTCAACGTACCAAATGGTAGAGACGTATATGCTGGTGTTAAAATTGACTATTCAGGAAGCCATGTAACTCCAGAAAACTTTCTGGCAGTCTTGAGTGGAAACAAATTGGCGGTAAAAGGCGGTAATGGAAAAGTAGTCAAAAGTACCAGTGATGATCGTATATTTGTGTATTTTACAGATCACGGAGGAATTGGATTGGTATCATTTCCGGACTCTATTGTAAGCTGATTTATTTGCTCATAAATCACATAAATGACTACGGAACATATCCTCTAAAACTGTTTGTAATCTGTAACAGCAAGTTGATATAAATAAGACAAGTGATGTTTCAGTTGACAGCGAAAGATTTGAATGACGAACTGAAAAATATGCATGCAAAAAGAAAATTTGAGAAACTTGTTTTCTACATGGAAGCATGCGAAAGTGGATCCATGTTTTCAGAAATCTTGCCCTCAAATATTGATGGTTAGCAATTAAAAGTGGTTGAGATTTTAGAGTGCAAACTGATCGTTACTTAAAAAGAATTTAGATGAGTCTTAATTGAGTCTTATCAAGACTGATTTACTTGCTATATTGTAGTTTGGCTTAATTTTTGGTTATACTTATTAATTAAAAAACACTGTCATATTGTGTTTTTAGCTAAGTATACTTATTCACTCTGAAAGTAACTACTCATAATTTTTTTGCCCTCGTTATTACAGTATATGCAGTGACTGCAGCGAACGACCATGAAAGTTCTTGGGGTTGCTTTTGTCATAATAAAATGGAATTGCCATGCCTTGCTGATTGTTTCTCCATCAGTTGGCTTCTTGATACAGAAAAGGTCTTCATATGTATAAAAATTTTCTTCTGATTGAAATCCACGTAAATTCAAAAAATTTTATTACTTACGAAAACATTTTTATTAGATCCTCTGCAGTTTTTGAGTTCTGCAGCGAACGACCATGAAAGTTTCATTATCAAATGTTTAATAGACATTCTATTAAGATACTTCAAATGTTAATAACAAGTCTTTTGCTTTTAAAAATCATTTTATGCTGACTCAGAACCACTGCATTCCAATCTCACACTAAAGTTTGTATGCCTTCTTGATAATTTTATTTTCCAGGAGAATTTATACAAAGAAACTTTGGCTCGCCAGTTTTCTATTATCAAAAACCTAACAGATAAAAGTCATGTAATGCACTATGGCGACATGGCGATTACTCATGATCATGTCGCGGATTTCATGAGTGGTAGTTTGCTACTGGTAAAGAAACCAAAATCTGTAGAAGACTCGGTATGTCAATTTGTATATTCAATTAATAGAGTAGAGATCAAGCAGAGTTTGGTACTTACTTAATGACTGCATATTTTCTTTTCTTAATATTAAAGAATAAATCACAGTCACAATGAGTAAAATGTATAGCTCATTGCTCAGTGTTTAGTTTTGAAGTGCTCAAAATAAATTACTTTTGGCAATGAAAGAATGACCTCTGCTTTGAAGTGAATGTCATGTTTTATCAAAACTCACATACTTTCTCTTTTCAGTTTTCATATTTCTGTTCATAGCCTGTCATTACAAAAGACAAATTTGCGTGATTGGTATGAAATATGTATTCTTTAGTTTAAATGCTTCACTAAAGTTTTTCAAAAATAGTTTTAATTGAATTTTAATTATCGCTTGAGCAATTTCCGTAAATATACCGCTAATCCTGAACAGATCTGAGAGAATCATTCACAGATAGAAGCAAAGATTAGAGAATCAGTTGCTTGGCCTTCTCGAGATGTTTACTTACGAATGCTTGAAAAACAATTACATGAAGCCGAACGGGAATCTGATCGACAGATCTTACGACACAAAATCACAAAACTCAAAATGATAAGTTTTTTCACTTGTTTGCATTATTGAGAAATTCATATTTCATCGTTTTCTATAATTCTGCAGAAATGATGATAAATCATAAAATTGTTTGCGTCTGCGAGATTAAATTGATGGTGAATATTTTAGAAACGAAAATATCTCGAAACCTTCCTCATATCGCTGGTACAAGCCATCGTTCCACACAATCCACAATACCATTTTGTTAAGCATATTCCATTCAAGATCATATCATTAAATTGTTTTGATCAAGTCGTCAAAGCGTTTCACCAATCATGTTTCCATTTTGGACACGTATGCACTTTCACTTTTAATCGTTACATTCAGATATTCAGATGTAGTCATTTTACTATTGATCTCTATTACTTATAAACTTGTAATAAGTGTTCATTACGTATAAATCAAGGATAATAATTTTAAAGCTCTCTACAAAAACAGTAAATACAGCAAAAACTCTTGAAAATTATTTTAAATTTCCTCTAAAACTTTTCTTTGAATTTGATCGTCTATATCGTATTCACCAGCCATGTTCTTC